CCTCCGGCTGCTCCCCTCAGCAGTGTACTTGGTAGATCTGCCTGTTCTGCTCCCCACTCTGTCTCTGGTGAAGCCTCTCACCCTCCGCATCTCTGGCCTGTATCCCAGTTCTGTACGAATAAATGAAATAAATATTAAAAAAAAATACTGAGTGTGCTTTCTAAACAAGAAACAAGGAAGACTACCAGAAAATGGAGCCAAGGTTATTTCATGGGGGAAAAAAATGTTACAAATATAGACACTGGGAGACTAGAGAGACAGGTGCTGTCAGATTATAACTGGAAACATCTGAATGGATGCAAAGTTTTTAATATTATCAATAAATAGTGTGTATTTACACCTAAAAACATTAATTCCTACCTGTGTCCACTGAGAAAGTCCAGTGCCAAAGAAATCCTGCCAGCAATGAAATGAATTCAACATACACCTAATGCCAAATCTGGTTTACAAAACCTTACTCTAGTATCCTTGAGGCAAATGGTGATTCCAAGACTGACCCTTCCCAAACAAGATGAACATAGAACATTGTGTCAGAAAGAACGGAAGTAGTAAAAAATTTAGGGATGACAGTCATAAGGCACAATAGAGGCAATGTGATGAGGCAACCACTGGTTAAATCTGAAATAATTTCAGCATCACACTAAGGAGTAAGAGTCATAAATTGTAGGCACATAAGTAAGAATCCATGAATTTATACTGACTTCTTTAAATGCAAAAATAAATTCAATTATAAAACCTTTTTAGAGCCCTTTCTGGCAGCGCAGCAGATTAAAGCACAGGCGCAGTGAGTTAAAGCACAGCACTAAGAAGCTAAAGCCACTACAGCATAAGTTTGATCCCTGCCCCGGAGGTGACCCACATGGCGCAGCAGACCTCTCCTGACCCGCCCACTGCTCCCCTCAGCAGTGTACTTCATCAGTCGGCCTGTTCTGCTCCCCTGTGTCTCTGGTGAATCTTTTCACCACACCTGTGCCTCCGGCCTATACCCCAGTTTTGTATGCATAAATAAATAAATGTTTAAAAACCCTTTTATATGCAAATGACAACCACGGAATAACAGAGTTAGAATATCCCTATTTGGCAACTATCATAATAACTATGAAACAAGATTCGTCAATGGATGTTAAGGAGTCAAAGTTTAATGAGAAATAGGGTATCTACCTTGGCAAAGTACCTTCCCCAACTACATCTGATAAAGGGAAACAGTAAAGTAGTGCAGACAGCAAAAGTAGGTATCTTGAGTCTCCTGAGAAGATGCCCTAAATACACAGAGTAACTACTATGGTATTTCTGTGGTATGGTTCTGATCATGAGAAAAAAACATCAAAATATTAAACATACATATCTACATATATTTATACAGCCATACACATGGTTTTCTACACATGATTGTATACACACACCTGATGTATATCACACATAGTATATATTATATACAGTAAATATATAAGTGTATTTGTGTATGTGTAATGATAATGTAAATGAGGTAAAATATTACATGGTAACTATTCAAAAAATATATAGGAATATAGGCAAATATCACAATTACTTATAGTATACTTATACTATTTTTAAAACTGTCTGCAAGCTTGAAATTATCTGAAAATTAAAGAGGAAAAAAGGTAACCACTAGCAAACTAAAGCACATGATCTATTAATCTAACAGTATCTGTTTATTTTTGCAAAGTGTCAACTCACACAGTCCTTCATGCTTTGCCCTGCACAATTCCTGAGTGTGAATCCCATGTATGGAATACAGAATTCCTATGGACAAGTACAAAGGATAAAATAATGGTATTGGTCTTTTATTATCTTTTCTAAAATTTCCAAATTATCAATATATAATCAAATTCTTCCTTTGCTTAAAGAAAGTGATAAGTTTGAAAAACCATGGAATAAAGATATTTGTGGGTATAATACAATGTTAATTATATTAAAAATACACAAAAAATTAAAATATGTGTAATGATTGTTTCTACGTGAGAAAATGCATTGATACACTCTTACTCAATTTTCTAAGATCAAAACATAACACTTTGTAAGGAAGATATATTTGAGGGGAGGTAGTTAATAATGAATAATCAATGGTAATCAATAATGATGAATTAAAGAGTATAGGAAAATATTTATTGGCTTTAGAAATTAGTTAAGATTGATTTTTGAAATGTTGACTAGTTGAAAGGTGAAACAAATCAAGATATATAGTGAAAGGAATACTGATCTTGGAATCCTATGATACAAGTTCAAGTAAACCATGATGAACTAGTTCTATGACCCTTGGTAAATTCATGTAATCTCTTCTTTAAAAAGAACGTTTGCTTTTTGACATAGTCTTTCTCTGAATCACGAAAAGTGTGCATGAAATGTAAATGTTTATTTTATTTTATTATTTTTTTTTTTTAAAGATTTATTTATTTGTACATACAGAACTGGGGTACAGGCCAGAGGCTCAAGGGCGGTGAGAGGCTTCACCAGAGACAGAGTGGGGAGCAGAACAGGCAGATCGACGAAGTACACTGCTGAGGGGAGCAGCGAGCGGGTCAGGAGAGGTCTGGCTCGCCATGTGGTCTCCTCCGGGGCAGGCGGGAATCGAACTCATGCGGAAGTGGCTTTAGCTTCTCAGTGCAGTGCTTTAACCCGCTGCGCCACCAGGGAGGGCCGTAAATGTTTATTTTAAATCAAGCAATATACTAATTGGATTTAGAAACATGAAAAGTGATAGAGAAAACCAATAGTTCTGAAACTATTGTAATTTTCCTGATTTAGACATAAAAACAAAACACAAAATACCCATTTATGTAAGCTACCTTATACCTGCATATAACTTCTTAAGCTGACCCATCTATTTTTAAATCATAATCATTTAATGCATTCACTTGAAAAATGTTGATTATTATATATAATCCACTGGAGTTCTCTATCCCAACCTCCTTATCTCAACTAAATCATCTCAACCTAAATAAGTCTTGACTTTTTTTATGATCATGATTAAAAGTATAGGGTCTATAATTTGAATACTTGAGTTTAAATTCTAGCTGTTTCATCTTTTTTTTAAGCTATTTCATCTATACACTAACCTGATTTTCTCCTCCTTCCTCATATGAATGTTATCTCACACATAAGATTTGAGAATAAAATGTGCTATAATATTCCCAGAGCTATTTCTGGCTTAGTGTAATATATAATTTTTTTAAGAATAATTGTAAGAATATATTTATAAGAGTAAATAGCAGCAATTATTAAGTTTTCAGCTTCAACAATTTAATTCCTGATACTTTTGCTTTTGATATTGCTGTAACTTAGGGAATATAACTATGAACAGATTCTATTGATTGTAAACATGTTAATCTATATTGAATATCTTACATAGGAAGAGTCACGTATTTATATGTATATGTCGAGACTCAATTTAAATAGTCAATTTTAATAAAAATTATGCCCAACATAGTACATGTCACAATGACTATTGAAATACCTAATAGGTCTAATAATCTAAAAAAAAAAGACTTCAACAAAGTTTCAAAAGTGATCTGAGAAAAAACTTACAATTGCAGATGTCAGATTACAAAACAGAAACCTATTCAAATCTTGACTTTCAAAAATTTGCAATCTTCAGCGTACTTAACATTACAAAGTATACAGAAATTACACGTAAAAGGTACTTTTGAAACTTTAGTTTCTATTTTGTGTTTTTTTTATATGAAGTAACATTGGCTTGTAACAATTATCTAGTTTTCAAGTGGACGTCACTGTAAATCATCACTTGTGCATACTTGACAACACCTGTACCTACTTAACAAGAGATCCAGAAGCAATACAATTGGAATCATTACTTAAAAATATTTTGTTAATCCCGTTACTCAGAAAAGTCAGGATTTTACCTTGTACTAGCCTATTCTGAAAGCACACAAACGTCTAACGTATTTTTTTAATACTGTTTTCTCCTAATTTTCTAAGAAGCAACATCAGAAAACATACCTGAGACTTTCAAAATCAGTTTCTGTACCAAGGCTTCCTTAATCAGGTCAATTTTAATGTAAACATTTGTACACCTGGGTTAACAAACTCACTTAGGCATAAACTCATCCTTCCATTTAATCCATTTTAAAAGCCATTAATCTACCCACAAAACATTCTTCACAACAACCTGTGAAGTAGAATTTAACACCATTTTACAGACGACAACTTTAAGTATAGAGAAATTAGGTGTTTTTCAGGATTTTGTCCCTGCAAATGGGTAAGAAGTCCAAGATTAAGCAACTAACAAGAAACAGAGCTAGTATGGCTCTTAGAACGCAAGCCCAGGCACTCGTGTTATTTCACTTTCTCACCACACATTAAAGAGAGGACAGCAATCAACTGACATATGACCACGTTTTCATTTAAAGATTATTTATATCAACAACAGTAGATGTTACGTACTCCATAAACTGTCCTCCAAATATACCCTGAAGGCAGTTTGTTTTCTGAGTTTAATACCCATCACGTGACAAAAAGCCAAAGCTGCATTCTCCCTTTCTACCTCTTCCCTCCCCAACTCTTCCTCTTTGGGCACCAGGGTCCCACAAAACATCCTTCTCACTGCACTTCGAGCCCGCCAAGCCACTATTCCACCATCCTCCCCTTAGGCTCAGGGTCGAACATGGGGGACATAAGGCGTGGAAAGGCTTCCGAGCCCCAGAAATGCCGAGTGAAGGGAAAACCTGGACAACTGGATGTTCCGCTCTAAAGAGGAGACGAGCCCAGCAGGGTCGGGATGAAACAGGGTAAAAGGCAACGAAAACAGAGAATATTAAAATAGCGACAGAAGTGGCGCCAGGGGATGCCGAGGCTCACAGCTCAAAGACTCCCGCCACCCGCAGAATATCAGAAGGGGTCAAAGGCCGTCTGTATGAGAGCGAGAGCAGATTGGCTGGCGAGTGGGCGCGCAGGCGCTAGGGGGGGATCCCCATGCTTCCTGTAATCGCGACTACTGAACCCTGCAGTCTCCAACTACTCACCAGGATTCGGGATTCCGGCCACCAGCAGAAATTCCGCCGCCAGAACCTCCGTAACCCGAGGAGAGCGGGCCGCTGACCTCACACGCTAGACCAACCCGCCCCTCCTCCTAAAAAAAAGTTGACGCGAAGCATTCCGGGAGCGCTGGAGGCGGGGCCTAAGCGGGAGGCGCAGGAGGGGGCGGGGCTCCCGGTGGTGAGAATTAGGAGGAGCGTGATCTTCGCCAAGTCACCAACAAGTGAGAAAGGGGCGGAGTAGAGGAGGGATGGACTCCCAGCCCATTTTTCCAACCAGAGGTGACTTGCCCCTCTCCTAGCAACAAGTTTCCCCTGGGAGACCACTGATCCAGGACTGCTTTTTTTTCTGTTAGACGCTCAGAAGTTGCTTTTACTTTGAATATATGGGTAGTTTTCAATTTTTTTTTAATTAAGTAACCATTTTGCCATACTTAAAGAAATGGACCTTTATTGTAAGTTCAAAATAGATAAAGATGCACTATTAAATTGCAAATTTATAAAAATTACTTGTTGCTGGAATACTTATAGAAATAATTAAGAAATAAGAGTTTGATAGGTGTGAAGAACAAGAGGTTTTTTTTTTTTAAGATTTATCTATTTATTCGTACAGAACTGGGGTACAGGCCAGAGATGCGGAGGGGGAAGGACTCACCAGGAACAGAGTGGGGAGCAGAACAGGCAGATCAATGAAGTACACTGCTGAGGGGAGCAGCGGGCGGGTCAGGAGAGGTCTGCCGCGCCATGTGGTCACCTCCGGGGCAGGCGGGAATCGAACTCATGCAGAAGTGGTTTAAGCTTCTTTGTGCTGTGCTTTAACCCGCTGCACCACCAGGGAGGGCCAGAACAAGAGGTTTTAAGGAACGGATTACAGCTGAAGGTTTTCATGTCAGAATTGTAAAGTTAAACAGAAACTAGGAGTTCAGTACATACAACCTATCATTTGCTGATGTGAATTTTAAGGCTACTTTTTGAAATCTTATTGAATTTTTACCAAAAAAAAAAATGTAATTGTGAAATATATATATTTGAGTGTTCCTTTATGTACACAAAGAATACTTAAGTACCACAAAAATGATATTTTTGAAGGCTTCTAAAAAGGTCTCTCCAAAAACATTTCTTTCTCTGTTTGCCAGAAATAGCCATTGTGCTAAATTTTATTAATTTCCTTGTTGTTCTTGAAAATAGGTATGCAAAATGATCCTCTGAAAATATAGTTATCATATTATTATATTTTATATACTGATCATACAATATTTCCTGCTTTTAAATTTCTTTTTCACTACATATTCAGGTTTTGAGTTGCTTGTTACATGGTTTAGGCTGACTATTTATAACACCTGATCTTGTTAGAATTCTAAAGATTTGACTGGCAGTAGTAATTGGTAGTTTGTTTAATTTGTATTTCCACCCTTGCAAGTGGGGATATGCTTTTTTATATATGCTCAGTGGCTATCTGGGTTTCTACAAAATGTCTATTCTTAACCTAAGGCAATTTTTTATTGACCTATTTGCTTTTAAAATTTAATTGCTAGACAATATTTGTTTCTATTAATGTAACCTCCCATTTTAACATATATGTTTCAGGTGTTCACCACTGAGAATTATAATCCCTCCCTTTGTCTTGACTTACCTACCCAACTTCTGCCCTCCCTTTTAATAAACATAAATTGGCCAAAGGTTTATTTTTATTTCATTATTTATATTTCATTACATATAATTCCTTCCCTCTGGGTCCACCCATGTTGTTGCAAGTGACAGTATTTCATCCTTTTAAAAATGGTATTCTGGTCCCTGCTTGGTGGCACAGCAGGTTAAAGCACAGCAATAAGAAGCTAAAGCCACTTCAGCATGAGTTCCATCCCTGCCCCGTAGGTGATCAACATGGCCCAGCAAACCTCTTCTGACCTGCCGGCTGCTCCTCTCAGCACTGTACTGCATCATTCTGCCTGTGCTACTCCCCACTGTGTCTCCGTGAAGCCTCTCACCAACCCCACACCTCTAGCCTGTACCCCAGTTCTCTGTGCATAAATAAATAAATCTTTTAAAAGAATGGTATTCCATTTTGTGATAATGTTCATTTTTAGAGTTTAAATATTTCTGTCTTGTCAGTTTTGTAAGTTGCAAATGACTTCTTTCTGTTTATAAATTGTCAACTTTTTATGGTGTGTTGGATGACCTAAAGCTCTGTATTTTAAAGATTCCTACTTGATTTTTTTTGTGTGTGTGTTTTATACTTTTTGTTTCTTATCTACAAGTCTTCTCAAGCTGAAATCTACAAGTTATTCTCTTTTATTTCTCTCTAAAGGTTTTGAAATGTAATTGTGAAATATTTTAGACACACACACACACACACACACAAAATACAGATGATGATAACATAAAGAAAACCCATGTACTCAACTCGATGTATATGAACATTTCACCAATCCCTCTTCCAAATGATTCTTTCCTAAAGTTGCCTTCACTATTCTTGGTTCTTTGCTCTTTCATATAAACTTTAAGGTGAATTTTATACCGTTTGGGATTTAATGACTGTTAACTTCAAGAAGTCCCCAACAAACTTCCATCTGAGAGCAAAAAACAATTCAAAGATGCAAACTCTCACCTGTTATCCTAATGCTCTAATATTTCCACTATACGGACACAAAGATCTGGTGTACTAATAGCATCCTGAAAGCAAAGAATCCAGTTTTACTTCATCTCACACTAGTTCATGAATTTTAACATAAAAAGAAGCAGGTCCTGACACATCATGTCTTAACTCAGAACCATAAATTGTGTGACATACTGCCACACAAGCTAGGATAACTTCTTTGCTTTTGGTAGTGACTTCTTTAAGATTAACTGCAAAAGTCTTTTTCTGGGATTCCAAGATAATTTTGCATAGTCAGTCCTGCAAGGAACCTACTGTCCTTTGGAACAATTTCCCTTTCCCCCTGGCAACCCTAAATGACCCCAAGTCAATCAGAACTCTGACTTTGCATAAGCCACATGCCAACTTCTCACAGATCTAGTATCCCTAAGCACCTCCCTATGAGGCAGACCATTTTCCTGAAGATGATCATATTGATCCAAATGGTTAGTTTATCAGTTTTTGATCTCTTGCTCCAACACCATTTTGACACTGAAAGTATGAATCAGTGGTAAAACAATAAAATTTGTATTTAAAAAAAAAGTTTATCCATAGAGCTAAAAGTAAATTACATAGCTCTAGCCTGAAGTTTTTATTTACCAAATCTCATTCTGGTTGTTTTGTTTGGTTTTGATTTGTTGAGATTGCTCACTATGTTAATTTTATGATAATAATTTTATTTCATATGCATTTATTCACTATTTTGGTGGGGTGCCAACTATCATAATACATCAACTCATATGCAATCTCTGCCTCCTAAAAACCTAACATGCAATGAGAAATATAGAGATACACACTGTGGTTTATATTAATTATCCACTTAGCACTGTCTGGGTTACTTCAACTATTTTTATATGTCTTAATTCTCAATAGAATTTATGCTCCTGGACCTCCCTGGTGGAGCAACAGGTTAGAGCATGGCACTGCAAGCTAGCTTCAGGCTCTTGGGTGCCGAGTTCCATCTCAGCCCTAAAGGTGATGCACATAGCCCAGCAGACCTCTCTTGTCTCATTCTGCTGCACTCCTCAGCAGTGTACTTCCTCGACCTGCCTGTTCTGCTCGCAACTGTCTCTGGTGAATCCTTTCACTTCCCCTGTACCTCTGGCCTGTATCCCAGTTCTATATGCATAAGTAAATAAATCTTAAAAAAAAAAAATTATGCTCCTGTGAAACAGGATTACTTCATTCACTTGTATATTTTTCTAACACCTACCTCAAAAATCTTTCATGTAGCAAGTTTTCAAGTATGTTTACTTAATCAAATATAGTTAGTGACCAGCAGTTAATTCTTAATAGACCAAATAAGGAACAAGGCATTTATTTGTATATGTGATAACTTGGTGGTAATATTTTTCTACTTGCTTTTTTTCAAAATATATTCTGAGTATGCTGTTTAATCAGTTTTTAATTGAAAAAAAAAAGTATGATAGAAGCAAGTGGATTGCTTTCAGGGCAAGTGGATTGCTTTCAGGGTTAGAATAGGAAAAAAAAAACTCTGAGAAATAGAGAAGGTTCCAGAGATATGGGCAACAATTTCCAGAGACAGTAAGACAGATAACTGAGACCACGGAGAACTAACAAATCTCAAAGACTGATGGGGCTTTAGAATAATTAGGGAAAGGAGGCTAATAATCCCTGAGGCTCAACTCCATGGCAACTTCCTTGTCCCTCTCTGACCTGATCTACCTCTTGCCGCTTTATTTCTTTTGCTTTAATAAACTTTTCTTTATATATATATTACTCTAAACAAATTGTCTCTTTCAGTTGCTTGCCTGAGAGTCACCTTAAGTTCCTGCTGCAGCTTGTGAAACAACCCCTTGTGGTCTAGTAGCTAAGACTAGTGCTGCCAGTGCAGCCTGGAGTCAATTTCTGGCTGAAACTAGGCCTGAAAACCTGAAATTATGGTATCAATTACATAGTAGAAAAAAAGAAATATATAAAGTCTGTAAATGTACCATCTTTCAATAATAACAATACAATTCATTAGAAAACTATAATGTGCTCCCCAAAAGACTTATAGAAAATGCAGTTTTAAAGATGCTTTTAACTGCTTCTGTGGGTTTAAAATTTGTTGCAAGATACATTTTTATATATCATACAGCTTCAGAAGTATAGAAAGAAATATCAAAAATATAAGAAAATACAAGATAAGGTAACTTTTAATTGGGTCTATAAAAGAACAAAATACTTTGTCCTTCACATTTTTTCTTCAACAGTTCTTTATCTCTTCTGATTCTGATTCCTTCCTACATATATTCAAACTCCTTAGATAATTCTTGTTTTCCTAGTTCTTTCTCTGAGAACTTTCATTTATTTTTGGTGAAATGTTAGTTGAAAGAACCTTTGGAAGTTCCTTTATATGACAGCATCTGATCATCAAAAACTAAACATGTGTAAGTAAAGAACAAATTTCTAGAAATAAACATATCAGCCACTTTGAGT